AGGCAATCCATTCACCTCAGCCTCCCAAAGGCGCGGGATTACAGGCTGAGCCACCGAGCCCGGCTACCTGCACGTTCTTCAGACCAAAAGGAGGTCGCCAGGCATTGCTTCCAGAGGACCTCCAGAGAACCGAGGTACTGCCTCCTGCTGGCCTACGGAGGCCACACCACGTCCATGCTCTTGGTTTCATTTTAATAGATGGTTACTGAACACACACATAGATGTTATGATGCAGTTCAATGTCAGAGAGAGGGCAGCTCTCTTGCCCTGTCTTCCAGTGACAGGTTTCATGCATGTGGACTCTGCAACTCAGAGGAGTCACAGGTGCCGATAGATCTCTTGGAGAGCAAAGTCTTTCCCCCCCATCAGAAAGAGGATGCTGACTTCCAAGTTCTTTGTTTATCAAGGGTATTTGAGTGTCAGTGGCTTTCTGCTTGATCACAGTTGTAGAGTGTACATCTTTGCTCGATACCTGTTTGTTGGACAGATGGATTTAAAATTGTCGTCTAAGGGTGAGCATCTTGGAAGATGTATGATGCTTTTCCTGACATCTCTCTGAACATTAGCCACTTTGTTTAGAACAAGTGTGTGTGTGTGTGTGTGTGTGTGTGTGTGTGTGTGTGTGTGTGTGTGTACGTGTACACAGTGATGGGGAGAAGTTGCCTTTAGTATGTATTGCTTTATAATCTAGGCACATCAGTTTTTGATGGAAAATTCATCATTTTCCTGATGTGTAAAGATGGACATTTTGCCTGTAGTATGTAGCCAGTCATTGGAAAGATGACTATGTTTGTCTGAGTGAGTTGGAACTCACGCGTCTATCTTATATCAACATGTCCACGTCTTCAAAATGAAGTGGGATGTATAAACATATTTTCAGAATGTGTAATAAGTGAAGATGTGTTAGTCTTTTTAGTATGCATAGAAAATATGATATTACAGCCTGTGTAGTCAGGAGTGTAGCTTTGCTGTATCACAAGGGTGGGTTCTGGGATCACCCTTGATGCCTGGCTGTGCCACTTATTGACCTTGGCTGAACTGTGCACCTCTGTGGACCCAGCTTCCTCCCTTGTAAAACAGCTGCCTGGTTGAGCTTTAGTGGGGATTAGCGACCGTGACATGTCTGCAGTGGCGATTCAGCACATAGTAAGCATTCACAGAATGCTAATACTCCCTTTCGTTTTAACTGAAAATATGAGAAACTGGAGGTTTTTTTTTAGCTTTATCGAGATACAATCAAATACCATGCAATTCGCTCATAATAAAGAGATTTGAACTTAAAGATTTGCACGGGAAATGTATTTGCCCTTGTCTGCAAATGCTGTCCTGGTTGTCATGATATCGTGCCCTCCTCTTCCTCCCCATTCCCCAACTCCCCTCACCCTCCTTTATACAGCCATATACACAGACACATACATACACACCTTCCTACACACATGCACACACACACACATGTTTCCCTAGACCTGGAATGGACCTCTTTTTCTTTAAAAAGAATCCAAAAGGGCCGGGCTCCGTGGCTCATCCTGTCATCCCGGCACTTTGGGAGGCCGAGGCAAGTGGATTGCCTGAGCCCGCGGGTTTGAGACCGGCCTGGGCAGCTTGGTGAGACCTCTTCTCTACAAGAAGTCAAAAAACTGAGCCGGCGTGGTAGCCCACGCCTATAGTTCTGGCTACTTGGAAGGCTGAGGCAGAAGGTTTGCCAGAGCCCAGCGGGTTGACGCTGGGGTGGCCGTGCGCGTGTCACTGCACTCCAGCCTGGGTGACGGAGTGAGACTCCAACTAAAAAAAAACCCCAAAAGCTAAAAGGCTCAAAATGTAATTGAAGAGCAAGTAGACGACTTTTAGAATAAACACTGACAGTTGTTCATGGCTTTGTGGGGCTCATGGGGACCCTTGCAGCGAGGCAACAACTGTGTTTTCCATTTGTGACTTTTCTGCAGGAACTGCTGCCATGTCCCACCAACCTCTCAGCTGCCTGACTGAAAAGGGGGACAGCCCCCACAAAACCGCAGGAAATGGACCCCCCAACCTGGCTCACCCCAACCTGGACACGTTCACCCCAGAGGAGTTGCTGCAGCAGATGAAAGAGCTCCTCACGGAGAACCACCAGCTGAAAGGTGGGCACGCAAGCCCTGGCTTCTCCAGTCATCTGGGGCCTTCGAGAAGCGCTATCCCTTTGTAATGAGGTTGGTAGGTGAGCTCCCTTCTCTCAGTGTCTCCAGGGGAAAGCAGAGCACAGGACTTAGTTTCTGGTAAGGCTAAGACTGTTTCTGTTGTTGACCTTTGGATACAGGGAAGGATACGGTATTCTGAGTGTCTCAGGGAAATGGCATAATGACATTTAGCCCATTTAAAAGGTAAAAGGGGGCAACCCCCTTGAGTCCTCTCCCACTGTGGGAGTTTTTCTGTCCTCTCAATACATCCTGCTTTAAAAAACAAAAAAAAGGTAAAAGGGCTGAGCGTGGTAGCTCACCCCTGTAATCCCAGCACTTTGGGAGGCTGAAGCGAGAGGATTGCCAGAGCCAGGGGTTCAAGACTAGCCTGGGCAACTTGGCAAGACCTCGTCTCTACAATAAGTCGAAAAATTAGCCAGGCGTAGTGGCACATGCCTATAGTTCCAGCTACTTGAAAGGCTGAGGTGGAAGGATCGCCTGAACCCAGCAGGTTGAGGCTGTGGTGACCACAAGCATGACACTGCACTCCAGCCTAGCCAACAGCATGAGACTCAAAAAACAAAAGGAAAAAGGAAGAAAGTCTCCTGGGATTACAGAGGAAGACCTAAATATTGCCTTACTAAGAGAAAACACTCTGGTGTCTTAAGCCATAGCTTTCGGCAGGACCAGTGTTTGAATCTAGGAGTGATAAGAATGTCCTCAGCACCCCCCGCCTTCGTTATTAAATAGATATTTGTGTTGTCATGGCAGTACCTAGGTTTTATTTTCTTGGGACTTCTAAGGACTAAATGTGACATTAGACCCACTAGTGCTTTCTGGAAGCAAAAACCATTCCCCTTACTACAGTGTTTTGCCTGCTGACCCTTGGGTCCAGGCCAGCCATGGCATCTTCAGGTTCAGAGCCCCGTGTGAGGTGGTCTGGGGGGAGGTGTGATTCATCCAGTGATGTCCACTCTCCTGGTGTGCTACTCCCTCACCCTGACTCTTATGCAGAAGCCATGAAACTCAATAATCAAGCCATGAAAGGGCGGTTTGAGGAGCTTTCAGCCTGGACGGAGAAACAGAAGGAAGAACGCCAGTTTTTTGAAATACAAAGCAAAGAAGCCAAAGAGCGCCTAATGGCCTTGAGTCATGAAAATGAGAAATTGAAGGAAGAGCTGGGAAGACTAAAAGGGAGATCAGAAAGGCCATTCGAGGTGAGCAGACTGATCAGTTGTGACTTTATTCTCTCAGCGTTTGCAGTAGAATCTTATTTGTCTAGACTCCTAGATCAGAACCTTTCAGGGCTCGGTCTGGATTGGTATTTTGCATAGTCTTGGGAGAAGTGTTTTTGCTGAAAAGATTGGCTGCATTTTAAGGGTCATGTGTAATCTCTTTTGGGGGAAAGAAATTTACAAAGCTTTGATCATATCGATTATAGTCAAAAGAATATTGAGCTGGGCACGGAGACTCAAGCCTGTAATCCCAGCACTTTGGGAGGTCAAGGGAAGAGGATTGCCTTGAGCCCAGGGGTTCTAGACCAGTCTGGGGAACTTGATGAGACTTCGTCTCTACAATAAATCAAAAAAATTAGCCAGACTTGGTAGCATGTGCCTTGTAGTTCCAGCTACTTGGAAGGCTGAGGTGGAAGGATCACCTGAGCCTAGCAGGAAGAGGCTGCGGTGGCAGTGAGTGTGCCACTGCACTCCAGCCTGGGTAACAGGGAGGCTCTGACTCAAAAAAAAAAGAATATTGAGGTTATACATCAATGTTTTGTATTCATTCTAGGCAGACGGACCTCTGCCTAGAACCTTCCATCATTAGTTTTTAGTTTATGTATTTTTTTTTTTGAGTTGGAGTCTCACTCTGTCGCCCAGGCTGGAGTCCAGTAGCATGCTCACAGCCACCTCTGCGTCAACCTACTGGGCTCCAGTGATCCTTCTGCCTCAGCCTTCCAAGTAGCCAGGACCACAGGCATGCGCTACCATGCCTGGCTAATTTTTGATTTATTATAGAGATGAGGTCTCACCAAGTTGCCTGGGTCTCGAACCCACGGTCTCAGGCAGTCCACTCGCCTTGGCTTCTCAGAGTGCTGGGATTACAGGCTGAGCCACCGAGCCCAGCCTATGTTTTTTTGTTTTTGTGGTTTTTTTTTTTACTTTATTATAAAGATGTGGATACCAGTCAGGATCAGGGACATGTGGAATGTATGTGCAGGTGAAGCTTGGGCCTCCAGCGGGTCCTCACTTCCTCTGGTTTAGGACCAGGTGCTCTTTGTGTTGTTACGCCTTCCCACCTCCCACCTTTGGTATAAAACTATGTTTGAAAAAAATCAATTGCTCAGAATGTTTACATATTGACCTTCTCCTTTTACTCAGTCTAAATGGAGATTATTATTCACTTTATATTTTCCTTTTAGAAAATGGTTTGGCAAACGTCACGCTGGGGTAGTGAGGCCCTTGGGCTGCCACAGATGGGGAGGGAAATGGACACATTTTTGTTGACCCACAGAACCTCGAAAGTGTGCTCATAACTGAGAGTGTATGTCAAAGATGCTAGTGACAAAACAAACCTGAATGCATTTGAAGTCTCCGCCAACAGTCCAAGGCCCTCTGGGTGCTGTTCATTTAGGAGGACATCTGCTGTCCATTTCCTTCCAACCCTGGCACTTAACACCCTTTGGAGATGGAGTGTTGGGTTGGTTGAGGAAGAACTTATTCCGGATTTCAGTGGTTTTTCTTGAGACTCTGTCTTGAACTTTGTTGATCTCAAGTTTGTTGATCTCTAGTTTCTTGAATGAGTAAGGAATGAAAACAAAGAAATAAGCCGGCCTCGGTGGCTCAGCCTGTAAACCCATGCCTTTGGGAGGCTGAGGTGAGTGGATTGCCTGAGCCCGTGGGTTCGAGACCCGCCTGGGCAGCGAGACCTCATCTCTACAATAAATCAAAAAATCAGCCGGGCGTGGTAGCGC